GTGCTGGGCTCTGCTGACTCCCCATGGGAGACCTTGATTTGGGGGATGTGGGGTGGCTTAGGAGAGAGGGCTGGGGGGTGGGAGGAGGAAGGAGGTGGAATCTGTGGGTGGTATGTAGCGTGAGTAGAAAATTTGTTAATAAAGAAAAATGAAAAAAAAAAAAGAATGGGTCAGGCTTCTGGGCTGAGGAGCTGGAGGGTGGAGGGTGGGTTGCTGGAATGGGGAAGACCACAGGGAGGTGGATGCTGAAGGTCAGGAATCCACTGGACCATTTGACACTGCATCTGCCCAGAGATGCTACTTCTGAACCTCAAGACTTCAGGCTCAGGGTAGGCATCAGCCTTTGCTCATCATCTTCTTGGGTAGGAGACATTAATGTTCTCTTTCCAACATAATACCTCTTGCAATATTTCCTTAAAATTTGGGTGAATAATTTTTTAACTTTAACTTGCCTGTTTTCTTCTTGTGTAATTGAATTTCATTTTTCTTTTTAAAGTCCCTTCCTTCAAGGAGCTGGAGTAATTTCTCTCTAAAGCTTTCACTTTTTAATATTTTATCATAAGTATTTTAATTTGCATATAAGCATATTCATTGTACATCGAGTACAGATTGATCAGGTTAAATAATTTCCCTGGTTTCATTTCCAACCTCAGTGATCCCTCCCAGACTGCTTTAGCTATAGAGTTGTGTAATGTTCCAGAAGGCTCAGTGGACAAACACCAGGGTCAAGCAGCCGACCATTGCTACAGCAGCCTGTTCTGTATGAAAGACCATGAACTCGAGCTCTGGGTTTCAGCTGAGTTCCCATGTTGTGTGTTTGTGGCAAAAAAAAAAAAGTATTCTGTGCTTCTGTTTTATCCTTCTATAAATGCTAAAGTGAGTGACTCTGAGCTGGGCACTAGATGCCATGGAGGCAGGATGGTCTAATGTTGGTGTACAAAGCTCTCTTTTCCTAAGAGGTTAGCCTGGGGGCCTAAGAGACAAAAGTTAGGGATCATGGAGTGGTCACTGAATGCTGTGTGGATGGAAAGGTGGATTCTGGAAACAACTGGGTTCAAGGAGATGCTGCTCAAAGCCAAAGTTCTTGCATTAAGAAGGGTCAGTATTTATATCCACTTAGGAATTACTACTTCAATTTTGTCTGTCTCTTTTAACCAGAAAATTTCAGGAGGGGGGGTGGATATCCTTTGTGTCGAGAACAGAAGTCCATAAAAGCCACTTTATGTTTAGAGAACTCAGTGTTGAAATGGATATCCAGTATGAGTCAGGCAAAATATGGTTAACACTGGACATCTAGAAGTCAATGAGTCAACACAGAATGGCTGACAGTGAATGTCTGGGGAACCCCAGGTAAACAGTGATATAATCTGTTACATAACTATTCTTGCAAAATACCACCTTTGTGATTCTGTGTACATGTGACCTTGAGTTCAGGAGTCTTGTGCCTGCTTGTGTTTGTCTGTAGGCACATGTACCTACGTCTGTGTGGCCTGTGTGCTGATCTCCATTTGTGTCTATGTCCTTCTGTATGTGGCCTGTGTGCTCAGGCGTGGGCCTGGGTATGTGCTAACTGCTACCTGCCTGGTAGCCTTCATCCAGAGTGTCTCAACATGCTTGAGAGTTTTCAAATGCTCTTCAACCTCTCAGTCACACACACACACACACACACACACACACACACACACACACACATTTCCTCTTTCTGGGCACTGGAGCATGAACCTCACTTCTTGCCCACTGTGATGTTTGACAGTGTCCCCCATGTGAAAATAAATACAGTTACACAAGTGAATGCTGTTCGTGGAGGAAATTCTAGCAGATATGCTTGGAAAATAGAAACTCAGTTCTGGCCTAGCAACTTACTACCCAGATCAGGAATTTTTATCCTGCCTTGTGCAGAAGAATGTAATGACATTTATTGTCTACAAAACTGTGGTCACACTGTTTTATGGCACGCTTCTATGAAAATATGTTGTAAGCATTTCCCAAATGTTACATACTTTCATATTTTAGTGACCACATGGTTATTTTTGAGTATACATATCATAATCCTTATAGTGAACTAATTTCATAACATTAGATTCTTATGTAGTCTATATAATAGTTTGTAGATATGAACAACATTATGTGAATGTCCTTGTAGTGAAATTCTTGACCAAATGACTAGTGGCCAACCAATGACTGGTCTAATTTGAGGCCCACACCATGGGAGGAAAGCCATGTATGACACTGCCCTCATGATTAGGAACCAGAGGCTTGATAGCCCAGAGACACAGTGTAAGGGGAAAAAAACAATGGCGTGATTCCTAATGATAGTCTCCTATACTCATAGATTGGTGCCTAGCCCAATCATCATCAGAGAGGCTTCCTCCGGCAGCTGATGGGAGTGGACACAAAAACTCACAACTGAACATTCAGTGGAGCTCAGGGAACCCTGTAGAAGAGAGGAAGAAAGGATCGTAGGAGCCAGAGGGGCCAAGGACTCCATGAGAACAGGGCCCTCAGAATGAACCAAGCAGGGCTCATAGGGACTCCCAGAGACTGAAGTGGCAATTATGGAGCCTGTGTGGTCTGTACCAGGTATTCTGCATATATGTTATGGTTGTGTAGCTTGGTATTCTTTCTTTTTCCTTTATTTTTTTTTATTTTATTAAATTTTCTATTTAGAGATTTTTAGATTGTTTTGACCAGACAGATGTTTCTGACATGCTACTGGGAAGCTCTGCTTTGCATTTTCAAGCGCACTCCCTTATTCTGCCAGCTAACCTCCTTCCTTTCTCCCTTTCCCAGCTGAGCCCTGTTGACTAGCTTGCCTTCTTCATAGCAGGATTCTCACCATGGTTGCACGGATCCATGAGTTCTAGATCCTCAGAATTCTGACCCCTAATTCTCTAGCATCCCTGTGAAATGAGGTTAGAGACTGTTTCTTCTTCAAGAAATGGCCCATTGTAGATGCCTGAGGTCTGGGCTGCCACCTGGGGCCATGCTAGTGTCCAAAGGCCATGCTGTCACTGGGGCCATGATGATCTGAGTGGACTGTGCGGCCACCTGGAGCGATGTTGTCTGGGCCTGAGCTGCTGCTGAGGACCATGTCTGGGCCCATGGTCCTGCTACAGCTGGGATCTGTGTTGATGTCTATGGCCTGTGTTACCACAGAGGGACATAGGAACAAGGCATGATGAAATCAGAGAGCCATGTTGAGCCAGCCCTGCCCTTCACTGGGGTGTAGTATGAATCTTAAAAGTTCTTATTAATAAAAAAAAAACCACGGAGCCAGGTATTGGGGTCAATGCTGGAAGATCAGAGAAGCAGAACAAGCCACAGCTATCTCACCTTGCCAATCCCCCAGCTGATCCTGTTTCCTCAGACTGGAAGCCTCTGAGTCCTCATCCAAATGGGTCTCAGCTGAACTGCTGCTAAAAGCCTAAAAGCTTAACCAGGCTCTAGTTCCTGGTCCTCACGCCTTATATACCTTTCTGCTTTCTGCCATCACTTCCTGGGATTAAAGGCGTGAGTCACCATGCCTGGCTGTTTCCAGTGTGACATTGAACTCACAGAGATCCAGACAGATTTCTGCCTCTGGAATGCTAGGATTAAAGGCGTGTGTGCCACCATTTTCTGGCTTCTGTATCTAGTGGCTGTTCTGTTCTGTGATCCCAGATAAATTTATTAGGGTGCACAATATTTTGGGGAACACAATATCACACACTGGGGCGGGGGAAGCTGGGCCTGCCCTTCACTGGACACTGCAGCAAGCGAACCAGCCTGGGCCCTGATGGAAGAGATACCCCTTTGCCCCCACCCCTGCCCCCCACTTTGGAGTAAGAGAGCTGGCTCCATCCCTCACCTGAGGGGGAGGTGAGTAGAATTGGAATACATGATATAAAATTCCCAAAGAATCAATAAAGAAATTGTGTTATTAAATTAAAAAAAAAAGAAATTGCAGCTGGCGTGTTGCTTCCTATTCATTAGTACTTGTACAGATAGATAATGCCCATGGTATCAGAGCTGACAGGTATCACAGTTACATCTGCAATGTTACTATGATAGAGTCACCAACTAGGGGCATGAATACATCTGGAAGGTTGCCTTTCCTTTGTTTTTGAGCTTCTGTGAGGCCATGTTTTACGTAGATGGAGAAGAACACCTGCAAAATAGCAAGGCAATTTCATCTTATGTGTGAGTGACAGCACAGATACTTCAACTAAAAGTATCAAGAACGGTGTCGACTCAATGGAGCAGGGGAGGGTGAGCGACATGGTGGCTGTGTTTACGTCTAGTCTCACGGGGACCGCTTGAGCACTGGAGATTGGACAAACCCACTGTACTTTGTCATACGAGGTCCTTCTGTGGGTGATGTTGATGACTGTGGCATCTCCATCTGGACCATCATTGCTGGTATAACTGGGTCTTTCTGTAATTGGAAAGTAATACTGTGCATATACTTATAACTGATGGCACTGGTATCGGTTGCTAGTTCTGAAGAGAGACTTGAAAAGGAAGGTAGTTGCTGTAAAACACAGTGGAGACAAAGGTACCTACTACTGGTTAACTTCAGAGAGAGCACTTTGTAGACTATTATAGATAATGCCAAGGAAAATCAAGACTGTGAAGGAAAACGATGCTACAATGGTTGTAGATTTATGTGCCAGCATCTTCAGACTTTATATTTATTCCAGGAGGAAAATTAGTCATGAATTATGCAAGTTTTGATTTATGCAAGCTCTTCAGCAATTTATCGCTCACATAAAATGCTTTCCTCAATGCTGGGCTTGCTCCATACTTCCCCCATGACTGAAGTGTTATGAGCAATTAAGATAGGGCTTTGGAATTTTTTTATTTTTCACAATGTATAAATAAGATTTTTAAGTCAGTTGCTTAAAATTCAAGAACATATTTCTCAATAAAAAGTCATAGTCAGGAACTCACATTTATTGATTTTATACACACACACACACACACACACACACACACAGTATTTTACACATTAGTTCTACTTTAATTTGGTCTTTTCAGCAACTTTGGAGCCATCTCCTTAAATCTGTAAAAGCGAATTCCAGGAAGCCCAGAAGTTGAGGTCAAGGATCTTCTTAAAAGGCAACAATACAGGATCCAGATAAATGCCAGACTCCAAAGCCCATGTTTTGTTTGAAAGTCTGCAGGTTCCTGGGAAGTCAATAGATAGGCTATCAGATTCAAAATTTCTGAAATCTGGTTGGTCCATGTACTCGTTCTTGGGAATGGGAGGCTGACGTTTTCCATCAGACAACCATCCTGCTGACCCTCCCTCTATGCCTTCCAGTGTTGTTTACCCCAGAGCTACCTCAAAATTCCCCAGATACAAGTGACCCCCTTACTCTTACCGAGTATCAACCAGTATAATCAGCATTCATAGCTTTGCAAGCACCTCCCAGCGGAAAACAGCTCTGGAAATGGGTGTTTTTCCACCCAGTGTCTCCTCTTGAGAGTGAGGTGGAGTAAAATCCATTGTTGCCTGGGGGAAAATCATGATGACCCTGACAGCACTTTCCCTGTAAATTTCTAAAGCATCACAGACCCTTTCTCAGCCTAGCACTGAGCATGTGCACCACTGTAAGACTCGGGGTCTATCTCCATTCCCACACCTCCTCTCCTGTCTTTCTGTGGTCTGTGGTCCTTCTCATACCCAGGATTGCCTTAAAATGGCCGTGTTCATGCCGAGCTCTCCCTTCAAGTTGGAGGCCTGTTGAGTGCTTGACTTGGGGCCCTCGGAGTGCCCAGGTCATATCTGACAGAAACCAACCCACTTCAGCATCAGATCCTGCAGCCTTTCTCCAAGGTGTCCTGACCCTTATTATAACAGCTTTTTCTCCAGAGTATAGCATTCCCTCAGGGAGGGGAAGGGCAGCATAGTGGTCATGGAAACTGACCCTCATGTGACCTCTCAGAGATGACATCAACAGCATCTCTGCTGGAGCTGCATCCAATGGTGCAGGAGACTTCTTCAGTGTTGTCACCAATGGTGCAGGGAACTCCAGTAATGTCACCCAGGCTCAGACGGACTTTTCAGAGACACAGCAGCCTGTGTAAACTCACTGGTTCACCAAGCTAGAGTGGAGTGGATTTGTTTCTTTGATCTGTTGGTGGTGTCACGTTTGGGTTCAATAGAACTTTGCTGGCCTCTTTCCAGAAGATGTCTCACTGCATTTGTGCTGTGGGCTTCCGTGGCTTTGTGGTGTGGGTGTGGTCATGGGTGAGAGGTACAGAAGAGCAATAGGTTAACCTCGGCTGCCTGGGTGAAAGGTCACACAGACAAGGGGCCTGAAAGAAGGGGAATTGTGGCGAGAACGTAAAGCACTATCAGTAGAAAGCAGCATCAGTAGAAGCAGTGTGAGAAACTAGGAGCTGACCTGACATGGACACTGTGGGGTGAGACAGCCGGGAAGGGCCTGGGCAATTGTCCCACCCCTTGCTGCCTTATTCCTGTGCATCCTTCCAAATTACACTGGTCTTCAAGGCTCCATTCAAAACTATCTGAGCGATGTTTTCCTTTCGTAAGCTCCCAGGGCCGTGATCTGGCTTTCCATTTCATATAAACATGTCGCCAGGCTCTTCCTGATGGGCAGCCATGCCATTTTCAGATTTTAGTTAATTCATTACACACGTTCTTTAAGAGAGAAGATATATTAAAAAAGAAGAAAGATTTAGCAAAGTGATTAGGTTGAGTTTTAGTAACTATTTTACATTAAAAATTAAAATTACAGAACATAGTACCTTCACCAAATTTAAACAATGACAAATTACTTTAAAAGAAACGTAGAGGACTGGGGGATAGCCAGTTACAGCAGCTATGTGGTTACCGAGCATGAGAAACTCTGGACTCAATCCTTAACGCTGCTAAAACTAAATTAAAATTTAAAAATCAAGTAGTTACTTTTCCTTCACTTGATTTACCCCACTTGCTCTTTCCTTTCTATACCATAGCTAACCCCTCTAATAACTAGAATTTCATCATCTTTGCACAGTAACGTCAGGATCATTCCCTGGACCAAGCCCTGCAGAGCTCGGGCAAGAGGACATCCCCTCCTGACAGCTGTACAGTCTGACTACGGGCAGCCACAGAATTTCTCCGTTCAGCAGGACCTAAAGAAGTAATTGCTCTTTCGGCCACACTCCTGAGACTACATAAATCTCCCTCGCAGGAAGCCATCACAGGCAGCAGATCCAAAGTTCAGATGAGTGAACTTGGAACAACACAGGAGGAAATCTCTTAAGGCTTTCTTGCCCTCTCCTGACCACACAGAAATTGCCTTTTCCCTCGGCTATTCATTTAGCCAAGCTCCTGCTGCCCCCCCACCCCCGACCCCGCGCCCGCTTTTCCTTTGCCGCTTTTCTGTCTGATAGTCTTCTCTGTCAAAATGCCTGAGCGACGACGCTTCCCTTCGCTCAGCTCCCACAGCCGTGTCAAATGGAACGCCGGGGGCATCTGAAGTAGAAACAGCATCCTTCTCGGCACCATGCTGGTGGTAACTCAGCGCCTCAGCGAGGCTGACGCATCACAGTTGGCGTTTGTCAAGGGCTGTGTCTGCATCGCTAGCGCCACCCCACAGCCTTTCTGGAAGCCCGTCTAGCTGGGATGGACTATTGTCTTGTTTCCACTCGTTATGTATGTCCAGAGATGGAGCGTGGTGTGCTGGCCCCTGCCTTGTGCCCTGGACCTTTGACCTTCACTGTCTCTGTCTGACCTCTGCTGACTCAGAGTGCCCGGCACGCTGGCCACTCCATCTTTGTATTCACTCTCATTCTTTTTTGACAACCTCCTTGACAGGGCCCTTCTATCATGTCTCCTGACAGCCTAAGCGCCTCTCTATGGTGGTCCTTAACTCACCACACCATAGCACCTGTCTCCCTGCTGGAGGCAAGAGCTAAGCTATGCTCTGCTGTTACCACTGAGCCACCCAGCAGCCGGAGGGTAGTAAACCTATGCTCTGCATACTGGTTGCTTACCGACTGACCAGTTCGTTCTTTCTGTTTGTGGACTCACAAGGTGCTAATGCTACCATTAATCTGCGAGTGACATCCTGTTCTACCACTTCTGCCCTACTGTCTTCTTTACCTTGAGTGATCTGGCTTCTGAGTCCTCCTCCATCTTCACATGAAATCTGGACAGTCCTTAAGAGTTAATGGGGCTAACTAGAAGTTTTCAAATAACTTGTGTAGTGTCTTGATTAAAGAATAACAGAACGTTTAGTGTTGAGATGAAAGTCCAGTTAACCAGGTCCCATTATTCCTTGGAAGGAACCATGCCTTATCACGTCAATCACAAAAATAATTGAATGCCATCATCAGAAATGTAGGCTCTATTCTAAGGGCAATGGGTAGTTGCTATAGCTTTAAGAAAAGATCCTAATGGATAAGCAGAGTGGGAATAAGGGTTATTTATGAGAAGCTGTGTTGGCTAAGAGATCTTGGTAACTTAGCCATGTTTGGTTGGAGCTTCTGGCTCACCCCTGCACAAGCTGGAAAACGCTGTCTGCCTCACTTCCCCAACCCCATCCTTGCTCAGAAAACTCTGAATAAAGGAATGGCATCCAAGTGCCTGCCCAGGGACTTAGCTTTTGAGCATACTTGGGCACAGTCCCAGCTCCTGGCTGGCACGTCATCACCCCTTGCCTAAGGTCTATAAAACCTCCCTGCCTTGGCTTAGGGGCATCACTTCTCTGGCCTCTTTCTCTGAGGCCAGTGAACCACCTGGGAGTGGCTTTGTTCTCAATAGGCCTGTTGTTATACTTGTAATTTGGATTGATCTGGGGAAGAAAAACCTACCAAGCCACACTGTTGATGAAAGGGCAGAGGAATGACATTAGCAATTATGGAACATTCTTCTTACCTAGAGTCTGATGGGTGGACTGGGTTTAAAGTCCCAGGCCGCCTTCATCTTGAAAAACAAGTTGAGAAACTCAGTTCAGATGTCCCTGACCAAAGGACAGCTCTCACATAGAACACAAACGTGATGTCATTTGGAGTCAGAGGTGTCCCCCAAAAAGTCGTGTGACATTGCTGAATTTCAGATTGTACACAGAAGAAAAAGAAACAAGACAGAATGTAAATATCATCAGTGTGGCGGTACAAACCTTTCTGAAATATATTCCCAAGTTGTTGCTCTAATATGCAAACACACACACACACACACACACACACACACACACACACACACACACTTTGTATCTATTATCTATTACAAGTGTATTCATCCTTTGTGGAACAGCTAAAAAGGTGGTTTCAGTCTCAGTGCCTGTAACATTATCTGAACCTTGCATCTGGTACCATGTCAGTTTTGCCTTCCAAAGTACAGTTTATCCTCTCCTTACCTCTATTGTTCCTGGACCAAGTGAGACCACGCTCTTGCTCTGTTCCCTTTTATTCCTCTGCTGCTCCATCCCTGTCCTGGCACACCTGGGCATCTACATCAATATTTGAATATGTATTGTCCTGTGAACAAGCACTGGTGATTTGCATAGATGAAGCAACGTTCTGTGCTTCATTCTGGTTCCTTCCTTCCCTCCAGGACACTGTGTTCAGATCCATGTTGCTACTGCATGCATCTAATCCATTGTGTTTGATAGCTGCTTACTATCTCATGCTGTGTGTCTCTTATATTTTTGCCTATTCATTTACCTAATGGTGAACCCCAGAGTGCCCCCACCTCCCACCTCCCAAATGGCACTACAGTGAACCTTCTAGAACATGTTCTATGGCATCAGTTTTCACCTGGGAATGATTTTGCATCTCTAAAGTTCACAGTATTTGAAGACACTTTTGGTTGTTACAAACAGGGGAAGATGCTCCTGGACTGTAGGCAATGGAGCCCTAGGGTGATGCTCAGCATGCTGTGGTACCCAGGACAGCCTCCCCATGGTTATAATTGCTTTATCCATGTATTAGTTATGTTTCTGATGCTGTGATTCAAGAAACTTCTAGGAGGGAGCCTTTATTTGGCTTATGGTTCCAGAGGGATAAGAGAGTCCATTATGGTGGGAAGATGTGGCAGATAATATCTCCAATATCAAGCAGGAAGCAGAGAGGGGGAACTGGAAAGTGTGACGAGGCTATACAACTGTAAGAGCTTCTCAGTGACACACTTCCTCCAGCAAGGCTGTACTTCCTAAACCTTCCCAAACAGCACTACCAACTTGGAAAAAAAGCATCCAAATGCTCGAGCCTATGAGGCATTTCCCATTCAAGCTATCACAATCCCAGATATAAGTGGTGCCAAGAACTAGAAACTCTCCTTATAGACGTGTGTGATGATTTCCAGGGACACGGTCCTGGGAGTAGGCTTGGAGAAAACTTCAGCTATGGTGAGGGGGCCAGCACACTTGCATTCCTGGTTTGAGTCGGCAATAGCCTACTGCTGTTCAGCGTGACTGCACCAGCCTGTCATGATTCAGAGGCCTTTGACTGCCCACCTCCCCATCACTGGATTACCTTGCTATATCTGTCATCTCATATATAAAATGAGACTCGTTGTTGGTCTAATTACACTTCTCTGATTATTAAATAGTTGGCTGCCTCTTCATTATGTCGAGATAACCTCTGGGAATGCTGGAATAGCACAGAGTAGAAAGCATGGAGCCTGTCATTTTGCTCTTTGTAGAAGTTATGGACAATTCTTTGAGCTCTTTGAGCATCATTCAGAATAAAAATAGTGCCTTTGGGGCTGCAGAGGTAGCTCAGTGGTTAAAACCACATATCTTCCTTACAGAGGACCTCAGTTCGGTTTCCAGAACCCACAATGGGTGGCTCACATCCACCTGTAACAGCTCCAGGGTAATCTATCACCCTCTTCTGGACTCCTTAGGCACCTGTACTCATGTGTGTGCATTCCCACACAGAGACACACATATGCTTAGAATTTTAAAAAATAAATTTAAAAGATATGCTGACTTTCTCATTTATTATCATGCCATCATTATCTCGTCATCAGAGTAACTGAGATGACGAAAGCAGAGGTTGCCTGGCACACAATAAGCACTAGACAAAAGTGCTATTATGGTGACAGTTTGATCACTTTCTTATTAAACGATACAGCTCTAGTGTTCAGAGTCTAAAAGTGCTTAAACCAACATCACTGAATAAAAAGCCAAGGACGCAAGGGAGAAGGGAGGATGGGAAGGAGCAAGTGTCTTACAACTCGGCTCACCTCAGAGCTGATAGAGTATTGCTTCTGTGGGTGCTGTAAATCTCAGGGAAGTCAAACCCAAGGCTGCAAGAGACAACTCTAGTCTTTTCATTTTCTGGTGACAGTCACAAAGACAAAAGACTTTGGATTTTTTTTTTGTTGTTGTTGTTTTTGTTTTTTGAGACAGGGTTTCTCTGTGTAGCTTTGTGCTTTTCCTGGAACTCACTCTGTAGCCCAGGCTGGCCTCAAACTCATAGAGATCTGCCTGCCTCTGCCTCCCAAGTGCTGGCATTAAAGGTGTGTGCCACCACTGCCCGGCAAGACTTCGGATCTGAAGGATGCTTTCTGTGCACTAAATGCCTAGCAAATTCTAAGTGTTTCAGGACTAAATATGTCATGACATCCATAAATATTCACTCTTCATGACTGTAAGATAGGTATTTCTATCTTTATTTCACAGAGAGCGTAAGTA